AGGATCTCACCGCACTTCTTGAAAGGACCGGCCATTAAAGTGCCCTGGGGCACAGTTACTCGGGTCATCAGGGAGTTCAGTGTCGACTTTCCCTTTGGTCTGGGGCCGGCACTGAAAGAGCCACTCCAGGGCACCCATAGCTCTGCCTCTGGTGTGCGAATGAGGCTCAGAGGCAGGTGCTGCACCCAGAGGGAGCCTCCAGGTGACCAGGGAGCCAGTGACCCCTCGGGGCTGTCCCCTTCCCCCTTCTGGCTGAGAGTCCCTCGCCTGTGCTGGGCCTGAAGCTACCACTGGGCCATAGGCTGTGGCCCTGATGGGCATGGGAACTGTTCCTCAAAGGTGTCCTTCCCCTGCCCACAGCCCGTCTGCATTTGGGAAGACAGAATGTACAGGCAGACCCCAGGGAGATGGGCAAAAGGAATCCACTGGTCTCCAGGCGATTGTGGTTTCGGGCCCTGGTGGACTCATGTGAGACCCAAAGGCCACCTTCCTCATGGACCAGGGCCTCGCCAACCCCTCGTCCCCCGGCTGTCATCTCCAGCAATGCCACCTCTGCGAGCCTCCCGCAGCTGTTCTGTGTCAGCTGTGGGAACCTACTGCACCTTTCCTTTGTCACAGTTTGTAACTGCACGTGCTTCTGGGTGGCCACCTGATAGGCCTCAGGCACCCCGCCTGCCTGCAAGATCATGCTTTTTGCCACATTGTATCCCGAATGCTGTGCACAGTAGGGACTTATCCTAATCCTGCTTGCTTAGAAAAAAATAGTTCAGTGAGACAGGGAGTGGAGTGCCCAAACCCAGGGAAGATAAGATCCAGGGAGATGAGCCACTAAGAGGATGGAAGGCCACGTGGGGGCTGGGTGGGTGGAGAGACCTCTTGGATCAGGTCTCAAGTCCACAAAACCAAGAGGACAGCCTGAGCCTAAATCCTGGGAGCGAGGCTGAGGTCCACACAGGAAAGTGAGAACATGTTTGGGATAAATGTGGGGAGTTTTCAACCCCAGGCAGGAAACCTAAGGTCCCCTGAGCTGGACACAGGGTGGAGGCGGAAAACCCAATTGAGCATCAGCTTGTTTCACTGCCTCATGTGGGATGAACCCACGTGGGCTCCCTGGGCTCCACTTTGCTACTGATTTTAAGAAAGCCCCAAGCCTTCCTCCCACAGGGGTTCACACCACCCAGCCTTCTACGGCTGGGGCTGCACATGTTAGCAGGCCTTCACGAGTGGGGCCGTGACTTTTCACTTGGGCCCTAGAGCGGCCATCCATGTCAGAAGGAGAAACACATTTCATGGGCTGCCTCCAACCAGGATCCACACTGGGGCCCGGGTCTCTGGGACACCCTGGAGGTGCCTGAGACAGTCTTGGAAACCGCATCAGATATTCTGCTAGCTGTTTCAGAAGGTGGGCATGGGCTTTAGGGTTGCCAAGGCTAGGCTTCAGATCCTGGCTCCTCTGCTGGCTAGCTGCATCCTCTGGGCCAAGTTGCACAACCTTTCTGGGCCTCTGTGTTTTCTACTGTACAGTGTGAGGTGGAGCGTGGCAGGATTTAACAAGGGGACTTCTGTGAAGTGCCTACAAGCATGGTGTCTGGCACAGGCGGGCTCAATTTCAGGAGTGTCCACCTGGGACGCCACATAGCAGGTGCACACTGAGAAGGCCCTGCTGTGGCTACAGCAGGAGCCCACGCTGATTGGTGGGTGCCTGGGCCACAACAACTGTCAAAACAGCATGAAGGTCACTCCCAGCTTTCAACAACTTCCTTGAACAATTCAAGTGTTCAAAACCGTGGGCCAGAGCTATGGAAAACTGGGCCTGTCTCATCACTCGGGGGATGGCGTATCTTGTGTACTTTCCCAACCAAACACCTGGCCATGCAAAGTGTGCTTTCAATGGCAAAGGAGGGCCAGGTGTGATGGCTCATACCTGTAATTCCAGCACTTTGGGAGGCCGAGGTGGGTGGATCACTTGAGGTCAGTAGTTCAAGACCAGCCTGGCCAACATGGTGAAACCCCATCTCTACTAAAAACGCAAAAATTAGTTGGGCATGGTGGTGCGCATATGTAATCCCAGCTACTCAGGAGGCTGAGGTGAGAGAATTGCTTGAATCTGGGAGGTGGAGGTTGCAGTGAGCCAAGATTGCGACACTGCATTTCAGCCTGGGCAACTGAGCAAGACTCTGTCTCAAAAAAACAATAACAAAAACGAAAAAACAAATCAATGGCAAAGAAGCCACTGGGGTTTGCTAGTTCTCACTTCAGAGGGTCTGGCAGCCGCTCTCTACAAGGCGGAGCTTCCCGGACTCTGGGAGGCTCCATAATCACAGAGACGGGAACGCTTCTGACTTAGCACTGTGCCCTCAAAAACCACTTTGAGGACAAGCTGCCCCTTGTGGGGGCTGCAGCTGTCTTCTGCTGTCTAGGCTGAAGGCAGTGGGCGGTTAGGATGAATGAGCTTGGAGGAGAGGTCCTGGCCCACCCTGCTGCCTGGCTGGCCCTTCAAGGATGTCATCCCTGGTGGATCAGGGCCAGGTCCCTGGTGGGTGGAAAATAAGGTGAGCGAGCCATGCAGGGTGACCTTCCTTCATCAGAAGCCTGAATGCTGGGCCGCACTCTGAGCCGATGTCAAATCAGGCAACTGGCAGAAGGGCTCCCATCCCAACAAAGCTGTCTCCCTTCTCCTGCCCTTGGCTTTCTCTCCTCTGCGTCTTGGTGGAACAGCAGGCAGATGTTGGAACCATCTGGTTAGACCCATTCCTACAAGGAACATGGAAAGTCCATATGCTTTGTTCTGGGTGGACTGGGAGGGAGACTGCAGGGTGGCCTGGAAGTCCGGCCTCAAGACAGGGAGGAGTTTGTGGGCTCTGATGTGCTCTCCTGCCAGGGATCAATAGCTACGTCCTGAGGCATCCATAAGAGTAAAGCCCAGGCTGCCCGCCGGGCCCGGCCCTTCATCAGGTGAGTTATCTCAGTGTCTGCAGAGCCGGACAGGCAGGCTGGGCCTCAGGCTTTTACTGTCATGCTGCATAAAGAATGGGGACCTATACGCTCGTCTCCGCAGGTGTTCTGGGGACGCACCAAATGGGAGCAGATACCTCGGAGGTCCTGACTCTCACTTATCGACTGGGACTGCCTGGCCACCTGACAGCCAGGCTAAGAGCCACTGGATTTCTGAGATGAAAAGACACGGCGCTGATACCACGCAGGGGATGGTGGGGGTAGGGACAGAGGGGCTGAGGGAGGCCAAGAAAAAAGAAACTAGCACACGCTGCAGACACCAGGCCCTGGGAAAGTGCAGAGTTGAAGCTTCAGGGGTCACATTCAGGTGGGCAGCCATATACAGAAGTCCATTTTTGATCATTTTTGATACTGTGGGTCTTTGCTTGTTTTAACTTTAGGCAAAGAAGTGTATGGCTCTTTGCTCACTTAGCTGTTGGCTGTACGTTCTTAAAAATGACAGAAAGGTGACTACAGCTACAAGGGGAAGGAAGCTTTCACTCCCAGTGCAATGGTAAATATGTGCGTTGGGCTGCCCATGCAGACACAGAAGTGCGCACACGCAGGCAGGGGGTGGATGCGCACACAGGCACATGAACACACAACCCTGTACGCCCACCCCTGAGCAAGCATGAAACCGGGATCAAGAGGGCTACTGGGGATGCGCCTTAGTTTCCGAAAGAAGCTCTGCCGGAATCTCCCAGCTACAAGCCTGGCAACAGTGGTGGCATCTGCTTGGATGTGCAGCCAACCTTAAATTGGGCTCAGAAATAGCTCACAAGGGGTGGTCATGTCCTGGAGCAGGTGCTGAGTGGAAAAGGATCTCTCAGTAAGGTGGCTGTGGGGTGACCTTCCTGCCTGGGCCTTGTGAAGTCAATAGGAAATGGAGGTAACATTGTGTGTGGATGGGAGAGACACAGGTGGGTTGGGGTACTCTGAGCCACAGCATGAACTGGAAATGCAAAAGCTGGAAGCGCCAGAGAGAGAGAGGTGTAGGTGCCCAGGGAGATCTTGGCTCCTGGTGCTGACAGGATGGTGACCAAGGGCCCTCGATCTCCCTGGCTCTGCAGCGGCCCGTGTCCTCCTGCCATGATCCATCAATCCAGAACTTAATGAGAGCTGTGCCAGGTGCCCCTGAAATATGATGAGTGAGGGCTCTGGAGGGGAACTTGCAGGAACAATGAAGGATACTGAGGGTCCCCAGTCAGAGGTGCAGGCAGTTAGTGTGACCCCCTAGACCCACGGTGGGGGGATGCTGCTGGGGCACAGAACATCCCGCTGGCTCAAGGCCATGGATGCTCATCTCTGCTCCTCTGGCTACAATTTGGGGCCATGTTGTTCCAGGGGCCTGGTGTCTGTACTCCCCCACATCTCATGCAGTGAATAGCTCACAGCAGCCGAGAACGAGGAGCTGGGGCAAGTCTCATTCCAGGCTGACTCCAGGGGCTCCCATTCACTCCCGGGTTCCCTCTGTGCCATGTCTGAAGTGGAGTAAGTTGAAGGATGGCAGGATACGACTTCATCACATCCTACCAAAGAGTGGCAAAGTGCATGCCTACTCGGAGAAGCGGACCGCACCACATTTAAGGACAAAACTGGTATGTTACAGAGGAAAAAAAAAAAATTAGCAGGAACACGATTCTTTTCCCAGACTGCAAACACTCCCCTCAGGAGACCCCTCCTTGTGACACTTAAGACTGTGGAGGTGATGATGGGGTGGGTTTAGGTGCAGCAGGCCTGCTGCCCATCAGCTCTGCAGTCAGTGACAGCTTCGGTGGGGACCAGCCTGAAAAAGGAGCAATTCTTCCCCATCTGGGAGCTGACCCAGCCCGGGAGGGAACATCAAGTTAGAGGACTCTCTAGCGGCTTCAGGTGCAGATCACCTGAGTGACAGCATCCTTCAAGTGCTGTGACAAGGAGGACCTGGAGGTCAGGGGTTTTGGTCATGGCGAGGGATCGCGGGATTCTCCCAATGTCCCCATATCACTGAGTCACGTGGCCAGTACCTGCTGGGCTCTGGGCTGTGGAGGGGGTGGAGGACGAGCTGGTGCCTCCCGAGTCGCAGTGGCTGGTGCTCCCGCTGCCGCTGGGGCTCCCGCTGGCGGAGGGTGGCGACTGCGAGGACAGGGACGGGGAGCTGTGCTGGTTTATGCACTGGGCCACGGCGAAGCCTGTAAGACAAAGTACCAGGTGACCAAGTGGAAGCAAAGAGCAGGCCTGGGGGCCTCAATTTCACAGTTCCACTGAACAGCTCAACCTCAGTTCCTTGAAAGTCCTGCTCTGTTCCCTGGAACAGGCTGACCTCACTGGTCGTGGCCCTGACCCAGTCACATTTTGAAGCTATTTCAAAGAAAAGGTTTATTTCAAGGAAAAGAGTACAACCAGCCACAGAGCTGAGTGTGGGGCCATGAGTCGTAAATCCGAGTGCCTGATACAGGCTCAGCAGTGTGCCAGCTGTGCCCCTGAAGAGCGACACGCAGCCTCGTGGCAAGTTCACCCAGAGATGCTACATGCCCTCACGGTAGAGTCTCAGGCCTCTGCTGATGGTGCTCAAGGAAGGGCACGGGACCCACGCTCTGAAGTCATATCCGGGCAGGAGGAGAGTGCCCTGGACTCTCCTTCCAGAGAATTTGCTCTGCCCTTCAGGTTCTGGGGAAGTCAGGTTCAGGAACAATGAAAGCTCTGGCAAACAGCTAGTGATGACGGTCTCAAACGGCCCTCAGCATCTCCGGGACCTGGAGGTGGAGTGTGCCCGCATGTTTCTGCGGTAAACTGACCCAGCAGGGATGGACAAGCCTCATTTGGAGACACTCAGACCTGGGTGCACCCCTGTTTCCCACACAGAAGCACCAGACACATGAACAGCTATAGTGTTTCTTTTGAGTCTTTCCCAGCCACAACCTGGCGGTAGCATTACCTACTCCCGCTATTGTGGGAATAAAATGAGAGAACTATCATCACACTCCAGCACAGGGTGTGGCACATGGTGACAGCTCAGTATACATGTTTGTTCTTTATGCTTTTTTTGAGATTGGGTTTCACTCTGTTGCCCAGCCTGGAGTGCAGTGGTGTGATCTCAGCTCGCTGCAGCCTTGAGCTCCCAGGCTCAAGTGATCTTCCCGCCTCAGCCTCCCGAGCAACCGGGACTACAGGGATGTGCCACCACGACCAACTAATTTTTTTTTCTGTAGAGACGGGGGTCGCACTATATTGTCCAGACTGGTCTTGAACTCCTGGATTCAAGTGATCCTCCTGCTTTGGCCTCCCGAAGTTCTGGGATTATAGGTGTGAGCCACCACACTTGGCTGATGTGTTCTTTACGATCAATCAAAGCCCCTTTTACCCGGCCCAGTAACCCCTCTTCTGGTGGACATTTGCTTTTCTGCAGGCCACGACTTCAGCCCCTAGGAGCTGAGCAGGACTCATGGTGATGGTGCTTCGTAGTACAGAAGCAACGCCAAACTGCAGTGGAGATATGCGGGGTGGGGTGGGGCGGGGGGCGAGTCCTTCTTCCAGCTGAGAGAGGGGGATCTCAACCCTCCCGGTCATTCCCCCAAGACGAGCCACTCCTCAAGCGAATGCATTCACCACAGCCAGCCCCGGACCCCATTCATGCCACCCGCCCTGCCTTAACCTTGCACGGTCCAGCTCTCCGCTGACACCACTTCCAGAAGGCCCTCCTGGCCCTGACCTCACCTTTCTTGAAACTCAGGAAGGCTGCAGGGTGTTAGCAGGGGTTGGCATCCTACAACCTGCTGCCTGCTTAGTAAGTAAAGTTTTATTGGAACAAGCCACGGTCCTTTGTTTACACAGACTATGGCTGTTTTCTCCATCAGCGGCAGAGTTGAGCAGTTGCCATAGCGACCACATGGCCTGCAAAGCCTAAAAGGCTTTTTTGCCAGGTTACCTGGCTCCGGACAGAAGCAGTGTGCCCATCTGGTGCAGGGGACGACATCCAGGTTATGGCACCAGAGAAGTCTGGTATTTAACCCTCCTCTACTCACTTCCCAGCTGTGGGACCTTGGGCAAGTCCCTGCCATCCCTCAGCCTCCTTCCTTTCACCTACAGATGGGACCTGTGGCTCTGTCTCCCCAGCTTAGGGCTTAGCGGGACTCTTCTCCTGGCCATCAGGGAGGGGCTATTTGTACTCAGGTTCATGTGAAGCTGTTTTCATCTAAAGATCAGCTCCTTAAAAGGCAGGGGCCCTATTTATACCCCTAGTTGGGTTTTGGGGGTGACATAACAAGCACTGACTATAATGGCAAGCGCATGGGGCCCGGTGGGAGCAAGGTATGTCTCCAACCGAGGCGGCCATCCTGAGCACCAGCTCCTCTTGCGTGGAGGGTATTTCCTGCCCGCACCTACCGCAGAGGTCTGCTTGTGGAGAGAAAGGCAGGATGAATGTAGCTGGAGTTCTCAGGAAGAGGCACAATGTGATATATTGTGTGTGTGTGTCAGGGCCCCGCTCAGATGAACTACGGCAAACATCCGGCAAATCCAAACACTGGGCAGGAAGATTCCTTGGGGACACTCAGCCGCAGCCTCGTGGAACCAGTTTTATAGCTGCTCACTTCTTAATCACTTACAGCGGTAAACCCCCCAGTTTACAAGCTGTTTACTTGCCTCGAAAATGAATTACCCCTTAACAAATCAAAATGTCAAGATGACTTTTCCCGAGCTGCCTATTTATCATGGCCATGAACAGAGGGCCAGCCAGGGGCATAACAGAGTTGGGATTACACCTTGTGTGCTCCCGACAAAGGCCCTGGCCAGAATGGATCAACGACACAGCTGTTGCCAAGGTGGTCACAGGCCCATTCGAAGAAGACACGTCTTTTCTCTTGCCCTCTTTAAAGCCATGGTTTATTACAGCATCATACACCTGGCTTATTATCAAAAGACATCTGCAGTGGGACATGTAGGGTAGCAGATGAGAAGCTGGCACCGCAGTCAGGATGCTTAAATTCTTTTATTTTGGGAATGGGTTGGGATCAAGTCATAGCTTGGCAGTAAAATCTGCATGCACTGAGTTAAACAGAAAAAAAAAAAAAAAAAAATCACCAACCTCCGATCCCACCCATTTGCAGGGTCTAGCTGAGCAGAGGTAACTGAACACATCTCTCCCTCACCCCTGCTACTACAAATTCCACTTCCCTCCTTTCCACTCTCTCTCCCTTTGCCAGCGGCACTGAGACCAGAAAGCCACAGTGAGTTTTGTCTTTTTTTTTCTTTATTTTGCTGGATGCCCAAGGTCCCCCACCTGCAATTTCAAGGGGCTTTTCCCCAAATCAAGGTGGCAACACATCAGAGAATCAGGAGGGTGCTGGGCAGAATTTAGGATGGACGCCCATGGCCAGAGCGCCTTGTCCTCTGGTTCCCGCTTTACCCCAGCCAAGCAGTTCTTGATGAACTAGTTTTGGCGGAGGTGCCAGAGGCTTTTGGTACATGAATCAAACACACATGGGCTGCCAAGCAAGTGCAAATACACAGACAAGCCAGAGATCGTGCAACAAGGGTGCAGGCAAACAGGTCTCCCTGAGATCCTCTCCAGTGACAACAGTCTTGGCTCTCTCTGGGTATGCTTCAAGGACAGCCTGCAAAACATCTATCAGAGGCTGTATGGACTTTCACAGCATCTGACCAATTCCACACCTGCAGCATGGTTTCCCATGCTGCAGACGACGCTGGGTGGAACCACATGCATTTCTGCAAGGATATTCTACAAGGATATTCAGCATATTGGTGTGTAGAACAGAGGACAGAAGACAGCTGGTATGTCCAAGAGTTGGGGAAAGGCTAACTGAATTCTAATCCATCTAGATGATGAAATTTCCTGCTGCCAACCAAGATGCTGGTAAGAGAAGATTAGGCGTCGGGGGAAATGCTCAAGATGGAGTCAATGAAAAAAGGTTAGAAAAAGCATGTCCCATATGTTCCCGCTCATGTAAAAGATTCATGCTCTCTTTCCCCCTTGTCCAGAGCAGAGAAAGCAGACTGGAGGGATTGAAGCTGACGCAGTGAGAGAACCAGGTAGTCATATTGCAGCGAGTTGTTATTTTTTGTGCTTGCCTGAATTTTCCAAGACTCCTATTATAAACCTTATTTTAAACCAAAAAGAAAAAAAAAAAAAAAGGGAGGATGATGGAAGAAATACAAGCTGCCTGGGAACTGGATAGACTCAAGCTCCCGATCCTAATATCCTCCTGAGATGTGTTCTGCCCTCTGAAGCTCTCTCCCCCAGATTCACCAAGAGCAGGGCCAGGCAGGCCACTCCAACAGTAGGGGGACCTATGCCCATGGTGAGATACATCCCCCACTTCCCAGGAGCCCCCAGTTTCATGGGGGGGCAGCCCAGAGTCTTCCTGTTGCCCTCTGGCCGTGTTCTACCAGTTATTCTGGGAAGATGAACTAATGAATAACGCTCTGGCATTTGTGAAGCACTAAAATACCACAAAAAGGTCAGTCTTCTATTTTTAGGCCCACTGATAGAAGGAAAGCTGGGCTTGCAGTCAGAACCCCAGGTTTGAGTCCAAGCTCTGCCCAAACTGACACTGAGACCTTGGACACGTCCCCCTCCTCCTCTTCTATGGGTCTTTAAGCTTTCCCCACCAATAATCACTTTACCATGTGATTCAAGATTCAGAGCCAGCCAGCGGCAGCCCAGGGGCTTGCACATGAGTTTTGCTTTGCTTATTTACGTTATATGTGTGTTTGTTGGAGGTACCACCATGGACACGTTGGGAGCTTTTACGCACAGACCTGGATTTCTGGTTTCTTAAAAAATGAAAAGATCTGGCTTTATGGGGCCCCATTCCTGCAGGACAGCACTGGGAGGGAGACGAGCAGAGCTCGTTCCCTGCTCTTGCAACTTGCCTGGCTGTGTGGGCATTTGAGTTGATAATCTCTGCTTTTTATGCCTAGATTGTTGGTCAAATCCACACGACTCAGGGAAGCTGGAACCCCCAGAGATCTTTCGAGTCAAGGCCCTCCTACAACCCCAGAATCACTGGGTGTGTGTAGGGGGAGTGGGGATGTAGAAATATGGTGATCTGCCTCCAGCAACCTAGGTCGGTCCTCAGACCTCCTAACAAGAACCACTTGCTTTCAACTTTTATTAGGTTGTTTCCTCAGTCCGGAGTTTTCTTTTGCTTCTTTTCTGTCTTTACAAATC